AGGGAAAGAATTCTTCGGTCATCCACCACAGTGGTTTTCCGTGGTCTTCCGGGTCTCACCGCTGCGTTCTTTCTTCTTAAGAATGTTCCAAACACTTGCTTTGGCCACACCTAATGTTTTAGCTATCTCTCTGATGGGTTTGTTTTGATTTTTCAGGTTAATGATGACTTGCTTCACTGATAGCGACAGATCTCATATTGAGAGTTGACAGCAACAGATTCCAAATGCAAATAGCAGACTTGAAATGAACTCTGGACCTTTAATCTGCTCCTTGTAAATGGAATAATGAGGGAATAACACACACCTGGCCATGGAACAGCTGAGCAGCAGATTGTCCCATTACTTTTGGTCCCTTAAAAAGTGGCAGGCACATAAACACACTGTTGTAATTCCTACACCGTTCATCTGATTTGGATGTAAATACTATCAAATTAAAGCTGAAAGTCTGCAGATAAAGCACATATTGTTTGTTTCATTTCAAGTCCATTGTGGTTGTGTATAGAGCCAAAAAGATTAGAATTGTGTTGATGTCCCAATATTTATGGACCTGACTGTAGCCTCCTTGGTGGAGGTAAAGATAACACAGAGAATTATTATGTTTCAAATCCAATGTATTCCTCAAAATATAACCTACATTGACTAACTTGATTTAATGATGATTATTTAAAAATAAAATACTCAATGTAATTCAATTTGATAGTTTGTTAGTTACAGTTAAAGTTTGTTATTTTGGTTAGAACAACCTCTGGGTGGTGCTGTTGCTCCAGCTGCAAAGTGGTTCCTTTGTCATTTGAGTCAATGCAATTCAGTTTATTTAGAGTGCAACAAATTACAAAAACATGCTCATAGGAATAATTCACCATATTGTCATTGAGTCTTTATTTATCTTGCTAGTTTATTAACAACAATAATATATTATAATCTAATTTAAAAGTTATACCATTTGTCATATAAAAGATTATTTAATTCATTTGATACAAAAATCATAAACATTTTGCTTTAACAGGATATTAAAGTTTTTATGTGCATTTCAAAATAAAAGCCCATTAATATGTAAAACATTATAGGTTGAATCTCAAAGGGACAATCTATAACATTACAAATATCGGATCTTCACTGAGCCAGAGAAACATCATCTGGTCTTCTAGGTTTGGGAGTGATGGGAATAAGTGCGGTTCATTAAAAATATCCCACTTAGGTTTTGTAAATCAAAATAGAATTATCTATCTAGCCATCATCTAACCTGTGTGAATGCCGGCTCGGAGCTGTAGCCTCTCGTTGGGCATATGAGGGATGGACACCTGCCTGACCGCCGCCAACAAGTCCAGGGCCATCTTGGCAATCTCATCTGCATGTTTGTCACCATTCCTCTCAGGTAGACCACTCACCACCATATAGGCATCTCCAATTGTCTCCACCTTGGCAGAGAATTTCATTTAATTCATTAAATGAGGCCGTTAAAAAGCTTTCATATGAATGACAAAATATCTGCAAACCAGTTACTGACTGATTATTATCTATTATAGAGCTTTGATAATATCTGCATTTTACCCATCCATCCATCCATCCATCCATCCATCCATCCATCCATCCATCCATCCATCCATCCATCCATCCATCCATCCA